CTTTTGTCCTTTAGGTGTTTTTAATGCAAAACTTTTTCAGGTGAAGAGTTAATATCCATTTCACTGTTTCTCATGGTGGCTCAGTAGAATTAGCCAACACTTTCCATACCCCCTTCCCTATTTGTTGTTGTTATGTGCCGTGGAGTCAGATCCAACTCATAGCGACCTCTCCTTGGGTTTCCGAAGCAGTATCACTAGGGAAGTAGATTGCCCAACCTTCCTTCCAAGCTTCCCCATTTAGCAATTAAGTAACCTAAAAGCTCAGAATTAAGGGACTTTCTGAAAACTATAGCATAAAGCACTAGGACCAACCCTAGCTCTTTTATCAGCTGCTGAGCACAGGACCAGGCTTCTGCCCTCTCCTCCTTTTGAATGTCAAAAGTTGGAGGTTTTTTTTTTTTTCTTTTTTTCAATTTAGTGGCATATACTTCACTTTACACTCTCACAGTAGCCCACAAACTCTGGCATATGACTATAAAGTAACAGCAGGAAGATAGAAGACTAAGGATAAAAAGCTTTGTTGGGGAAGCATCTAAGGAATGATCAGTCAGTAGGACAGAATTAAGAGAATGAGAATTACTAATGGGGCATGATGCAGCTAAAAGGATGATAACAGGGTGGAACAAAGACAATAATAACAAGACTGGAAGCAGTTGAAAAGGCAATGAAGGGAGGGTGGGTGTGATGGTTTAGCAATATAAATGGTCTCTTATAAATAAGGGCAGAGTGCATTTACCCAACTGTGAACAGTGTGATGGGAAAATATTAAGCTGAGTCATTTAAACAATCTGAATGATAACAGTAATAATAAAAAATAAAGTACAGTAGATTGAGTATAATATGGGACAGTGGTCTCCAACTGCTACATAAATGCTGAAAGCAGTTTAGCTATTTATTTTCAAAGCTGGAAACTTAATATCAAATAACTAGTGGAGGTTTAAATGATTTTTCTACTTGACACTTGTGTAATTAAGACACAATTGTTCACTGAGCTACTATTGACCTGTTCCCTCTTAATAGCCTTAGGAAACTTTTTCATTTAAGCTACTACTACTTTGAGTCACTCTGGTAGTGTAGTGCCTAAGACACTTGACTGCTAACCAGAAGGCTGGTGGTTCAAACCCACCAGCCACTCCTTGGAAGGAAGGTTGGGCAATCTACTTCCATAGAGATAAACAAACACACTGCTGTGGATTTGGATCCGACTCATAGTGACCTCCTTGGGTTTCCAAGGTGGTATCACTACGGAAGTAGATTGCTCAACCTCCCTTCTGAGGAATGGCTGTTGGGTTTTGAACTGCCAGCCTTCTGGTTAGCAGTCAAATGCCTTAGGCACTACACTACCAGAGCTCCCTCTGTAGTGATACCACCTCGGAAGACCGAGGAGAGATCCTTACCCTATGCCATCTTGGAAACCCAAGGAGAGGTCACTGCCATCCAGTTATATCCAACTGGATGGCAGTGAGTTTGGTTTTTGGTTTTTTATATTTCCAGTAAGTTCTGTTCTCTCTAAGCCTATGGTACAAGATGTCAGTAGAACTAATTTGAATATATACATATGCATTTGTCTTTATGGCTTTGATTTTTGCTGATTTTCATGTCAAGTATGTCTTTATTCAGCCAAAATGCTAGGTGGAATGTAGAAAAGTGTGTGCTAATTATGTTGCAATATAGGGTTTGCGGGGAGCAAGCAAGGCATTCTATCACTAAAGCTCCTTTTATTTTCCTGAAAGAGCCTCATGGAGGATTTAGAGTTAAACCCAGTTTTTGATGAGATAAATGTAAGGTACCTTAAAGTGTGAACTCTGTCAGTATACTCAATTTATGAGTAATATGGGGATGTGAGAGACTCAAGAGCTAAGACCCCAGAATTCAAAAGGAAAGAACTTTCTATTACACTCTCAACAGTCTGTGTCATCAAATAAAACTGATTTGGTTGATCAAATTTTAGGCACAACTGAAATATAACAAGAGATTGGGATTAAAAAAGAAACCCATAAAATTATATCATGCCTAGAGATTTACTGCTCTGGCATTACTCTTGCACTGATATCAATATTACAGAAACTCAAACCTGAGGGGAAAGTTGAATTATTATTTCCTAAAGTAAATTTTCCAGATGCTTGACTAAAACTGATATGAGGTATAAGACATAAGGAGAAGAAATAAAAAGGCCATAGTTAACATAGGTCCATCTGTCTTGGGCGAAAGAATCCAGAACTAGGATGAAGATACACATAGATTTCCAAATTATCCGTAATCTTGGTGATGGATTTTTCAGTGGAAGTTAGGATCCTGTTTGTAGTGTTACCACATTGTGATGTTATCCCCTGCTTAGAAATTTTCATTTAAAGTTTCTGTGTTTTAAATTTCACTAATAGCTCTCTTTGTTAGGTTAGGGTCAACAGGAAGGAAAGAAGAACAATTTATGGGAGAGATAATTCTATGTTTTTGTTATTGTTCTTAGTGCTGTAGAGTTGGTTCAAACTCAGAGAGACCTAATGTGCAAAAGAATGAAATACTGCCCAGTTCTCTGCCATCTGCACAATTTTTGCTATCTTTGAGCCCATTGTTACATCCATTTCGTCAATCCATTTTGTTGGGAGTCTTTCTCTTTTTCACTGATTTATAATCCTGTACGCATGGAAATTCTTCAGTTTTATCATTGTTTGAGTAGCTAAACCTACAAATATATAACGCTCCATGATGCTTACTATTTTTTCCCCTTTAGAGCGTGTTTTACCCACAATTCCCCACCCTATTCAAGGTCAGTATGATTTTTATCACTATAGCTCTTTAGCTGGGTCATTCTCCATCATCTATAATGTGCAAAACATACAAAGGGAAAAAGAATTCACAAAATTCAAATATGATAGAAATCATATTTTTCCTTAAACCTTCAATGGAAAAATTAATCAGTTGCTATCAAACCAGTTGATAGGCATATAATAGGTCTATCACCAACCTAACTTCAAGTCAGTCAATAGTTGAGGAGACAATGCTAAATTCAGAAATCAATTGTTTCTTCAGTCAGCATTTATTACAAGTAACTATGATCACATTTTTTGGAATATAGCCAGTTAAATTCTTTAACTCCCCAAAAAACAAATTGCACATGAAGGTTGTATACTCTGAATCTGAAGCCATTGCCATTACTTACAAAGATGAATTAACATACTGCCAAAGGTTAATTCAACCAGATTACAACAAGGGCAGTACATTTTCTTAACATATTGGCCTATTCAGGAACTTTTCATTGAAATATAACTATCTCAGAAAACACAAATAAAAAAAAACAAGGTAGACATCCTGAATTCCTTTTCATAAATATCTACACACTCAAATTAAATTGTGCCTCCATGACATTTAGATGCAAGTTGCAACCACAACCTTCTAGCTTAAGGCTAGTTAAAGGAAAATTGGCAAAGAAAGTGATTGGCAAATGCAAAAAATTCTGAAATGAAACCAACCTACCATTGAAATTAAATTCCAGAAAAGTGATTTGCAAATAACACTCAAAGACCTGAGAAAAAATGGAAACTAGGCCATGCGGGACATAGTGTGGAAAAAATAAATCCAATTAAACAAGATTATCATACACACCGTAAAAGAAATGTGCTCAGAATTAAAGGTAGAAAGCTGCTATTTTAAAAGTTTGAAGATGGATCATGTTTCATTAACACTTGTCAAACTAAAAATTAGACTGAAATTGGGTGTAGATATTCAAAGTGTCAACAATGTGTGTATTATGTATTCACATGTGCAAACTTATTTTAAAGGAGGATTGTAAGGTTTAAAGGATCAACTAGACAGGGTAATAAAAGATTTATTCTTAAATTTTAAGAAGAATCCAAACTATTTTTAATATAAACGCTTAGAAGAATTCTGTTGAATAAGAACTTCCCTAAAATATTGATGAAATCTGTTTCTTACTCTAGCCACTAAATATAAAGACTGTTAAAACGTGGCTGTTTTTTAGACTTGACACAAAACTTAGTGTTCCTGGAAAGTATCTCCTTTTGAATTCCCAACATGTCACAATTATTTTAAGACATGTATCTTCTACTGTTGTTGCAGAGATTGACACTATTTTATCATGTTAGCATCTTGCAAATACCTTGATGTGACAAACACATACACACACATTTGTCCCAATGGATAACAGTTTCAAAGAAGCCATGCTCCATCCAAGAAGAGCTTTGTGCAATGTCAATATTATGTTAGGTATCCTTTGTGGGAGTTGTTCTGCAGCTACAAACTCAAATATCTGATCATGCATTTTGATAAATTTAATATTGAACAAAGTGAAGCCAGACACTGTACACAAAGGACAGCAGTCAGACATTGAAAAACAGTCTGGATGGAGCATGTGGGGTTTTGTTGAGCTTTTAATTTTCCCATAAAATAAATTGTTGATTGGAGAATGACCCTAGTTTGATTTTACATTGTGGGTAGAATGTAGTTAGTTTCCTTAGAAAAAATAGTTTTTAGAAAATATAGTTTATTTTACTACTAATATTTCGGGCTTCTGCTGGTGGAAATTGAAAAGCTGTTCGTTGAGACTTGGGATAGCTATGTGAGAGGCTGTTGGTTCCCTGTTTGTTATAAAAACTTGAACTTCTAGAGTTCAAATCTCTTTTCTCCTCCTATTCCAATCAAGATGGCAATCCATGTGAAATGCAGTTTCTTATGGAAAGAAGCATCAAAAATAGGATTCTTAATCCTTTGTATAATAACGATTACCCCAATATCTATAAAAAGTATACCTCATTGTGTAATAACTACTGTCCCAGACTTCATTTAATGAAACATCATATAGTGTCATCATCCACTTGGCAGCCTAAATTTGAATCCTAAAGCATAAACATGTGTCTAAGTTGTTGACTGATGTAAATGGCCTGAAGAATTTTGAACCAATTAATTCATGTAAAGTGTACTGAAAGGAGGATAAAGTCATAAAGATCCTTTTCTACCCCCATCTCCATGATACAAAAAAGAATGGCCTCTCCTACTTTCCAAATTAACAGAAATAGATGTTTAACGTCAGCTGCTTCCTTGTTAATATCACTCATTGGATGGTCTCCCTTCCTATCCCCACTCTCCAGGCTCATCAAGTTGACTGGTGATACCTAGCAGAGTCACAGCAGGAATTCAGTCCTAAACCCCTTCAAGCTGTGATTAAACAAAAACAAGCCTCAATAAATCAAAATGTATTTCCCTTGGATTTTCTTCATCATATTGCCTGATTTTCTGCAGTGATAATAACAATAGTATCTGGAGTTGCACCAAAGGATAATTTGTATAGGTGTGGCCAATCAGAAATTTTTAAAATGTCTCCTCCCCTTCTAAAAAAAAAAAAAAAAAAAAAAAAAAATCAAATAAAATATATACTTCCCTCCTCCTTAATTTAAAAGATCTATCTAAATATATAAAATAAACAGTGTTCCATCCTTGATCTGTTTCGGATAGGTATTTTTCCCCATTAATTTTAATTCAGGTTTATTTATTCTGAAATTAGTCCTGAACTGCATATATTTGCATAACTACCCCTGACTATACTGCTGTAGAAAAATCCACTGAATTGTAAAATGAGGAGCAAAGAAGCTCTAAATGTCTGAGGGAACTCAAATCATTTCCTGGGGTTTCTGAACATGGAAACGATAAACCGCTGCTTCCCGCCACCCCCTAAGTAGAACCCGTCTTCAGGATGAAAAGTGCATCTAGAGACACCTTCACCTTTAGAAAGACTGTGGGTTCAGATGGAGGGGACAAAATCAGCCTCAGAAAGTTAAAAGAGAAAGAGAGAAAAGAACAAGAATAATCCTCCTCTTTGGAAAAAAAAAAAAAAGAAGCATTCCCTTGTGCTCTGGGCTCTCTGGGCTCAATCAGCCCATCTTCTCCTATCACTGCCACTTTGAAAAAAGAGAGAGAGAAAAAGACCCCTGGAATATGTCTCACTTATTTGCCTCCCATCTGATTATTTATCCCAAGTGAACAGCCTTTCCATTCACTAACCCCGTGTGGCAAGTGGGTTTGGGAAATGTTGAGATTATCTCCTAGGCTCAGGCATCGCATTGGGTTTTTCACAGCTGCTTGCCATTCAGTCCGTTTTTCCATTGATAAAACACATTGCACATGGCTGGGTTTGCATGATTAATACAGCTGTCTAAAGCTCTCTCAGAAAACAAAACAAAACCTCCCAAAATTAAAGTTTAAGAAAATATTAAGCCCAAATCCACAAGCAAACCAGGCTTCCAGAAATCTGAAATCAGCCTGGCAAATTTCCTGTTGCTTTGGGCAGGCTCTGGCCTAAGAACAAGAGGAAGGGGGACATACCTGTGCTCACCTGGCACTGCCGGTGGGCTCTTGAAATCAGACTCCAATGGGAGGGGAGGGAAACTGGGAAAGGAAGCCTGAATGTCCCCCATGCTAGAAAGATGACTGACTAACTCTACAGCTTCATTTCTTTTCTGTGGGCTCTCTTTCTTGGTACCAATGAGAAAATGCTTCTTTCTAGCTCCTTATTATGACAGCAATTTCATTTTGTCTAATAATAATGGCAATAACAACAATCGTTAATATACATGGTGAGTTTATAATGTACCCATAGAGTTCTAAGGGCTTTTGCATGTATTAACTCAATGACTCCTCACCAGAACCCTAAGAAAGTAACATGTGCCTTCTCCTACTTGTTTTAATCAGCACTCAAAACTCACTGCCTTCAAGTCGGATCCGACAAATAGAGACCCCCCTTTGGGTTTCCGAGGCAGTATCACTACAGATAGTAGATTGCCCAACCATCTCTCTGAGGAACAGGTGGTGGGTTTGAACCGCCAGCCTTCTGATTAGCAGTCAAATGCCTTAGGCACTATGCTACCAAATTCCAACCTATTCTTCCTTGCCCCAGGCACATATATAAATCTACAGTACATTAAACAATAACCATATGTATACACTCATATTCACTAAATATGGATCTGTCTTATTAGATTAAACTTCATCTAATTTATTTTATGTATTATAATGCCTAGAAGACATAATACTCAGTTATCTTAATATTCCTACATTTTTACAAAGCCCATTTTCAAATACACTTAACACACAGAGAGATGTATGCGTAAGTCACACAGAGACTTGTATGAAAGCATTCATCTTTAAAAAACATGAACACAGTGATCTGGCATTGGCACATCCAATTTCACACACTCATTCAGGCTCATTTACATACACACCTCTATTAATCATGGATAATTACTAGCATTGTTTTCTGTAATTCAGTTTTTCCAACTGTGAAATGGGAAAGAAATTGTATTTTCCATGCCTAAAAGCTCAAAGTGATATTTTAAATAATGTACCAAAAAAAAAGGAACTTTAAGTTCCTAGAAAGTATATTTAATTTAAATGATTATATTAAGATACATATATGTCATAGTTGTTAAAAGTACTGCTATACAGACATATGCTTGTATCACCATGCATGGATCTTAGCTAAATATAAGTTCAGTGTGGCTTCATTATATTTTCATGTATTATGGATTCAGAGGATGTCTGAAATGCCAACACTGTTAACAATTTTAAACGAATACATATGGCTGCCCAAACTAAATAAAAATAGCTTATTATTATTTCTATAAATATCATAATATGACACAAGAGGAGCTGCAAAATTGCAGTTCCTCACTGTGATGGTCTGTGAGCTTGATTATGAGCACGTGCACAGACATACACTTGTCAGTGGATACCAGTCATGCACCTTACCAACTGTCA